CCCCCCCCCCCCCCCGAATAAGAAGCAAATAAAACTAAGCGTTTCGAGCTACGAAATCGATACTTTCTTCTTCTTCGTCTCCGTTTTATTATCTGACAAAGCATTCCGAAGCTGTTAAGTGAGATACGTAGACCAAGGCGTCATTTTATTACGTAATATCCAGGACTAAATACCAGCTGAGTTTGATACTGTGGACGCTGAAAGGAAGCAGCTTTTTCGGTGGGCCCCTTTATCCAGTTCGATAAATTGATCGCCTCTCCACCTCTTCATTTACTCACCGAGCGCAGCAGCTGTTTCCTGGCCCCATGTTATTTATCTCTCAGCCGTCAGAAGACGCTGCCCCTCCCGTCGATATGTGCCAATCTACTGACCTTAAATCAAGGAATTAAAGCCACTTCATATCATCTTCTTTTCACTACTAGTCACAGAGAGTGATTTTACAATACACTCGCCAAAAATTGTTAGTTCTAACTAACTAACTAGATGGCTTACCGAACCCGAAGGTTCATCACCGAATTAACCAAAGCCCTCCACCGGACCCTGTCCTGGGCCAACAAAATCCAGTCTCCTTCAACTTCTATCTCCCATAGATCCCGCCTGAGATTATCCTCCCATCTACGTCTAGGTCTCCCCAGCGGTCTCTTCCTCTCAGGCTTCCCAACCAGTACCCGGAGCACACCTCTTGTCCCATCCATGCGCGCTACATGCCCCGCCCATCTCATTCTTCTCGACTCACTCACCCTGACAATACTGGGGGTGGAGTACAGATTTTTAAGCTCGTCATTATGCAGTTTTCTCCATGCCCCATCGTCTTCTCTCCTAGGCCCAAATATCCTCCTCAACATCCTATTCTAGCAGAATCCTCCAGAAGCTGACAGTCTTTCAGTTTATAAAGAGATTCTACACCTTTCATTGAGTCAGAAGGTGCATTGCATTGTTAACAACAACCCTTTACTGGACTCTGTATTGAGCCATTTGGATCCATTGAGTGTACAGTAATTTTACGTGAGCGCCTGCCATGCCCTCAAGTACTCTCTTTGCTGTATGGAGTTGGTTATTTCTTATGAAAAGCAAATATTTGCTAGGTTGACTGTACAATCCTTGTAATGTAAGAGTGGACGGTAGCAGAACGGCTAGGTTAGGTCGACAGCTCGCCACCAGAGTGCAGCTATCACCATCAATCATTTTCTTTCTCTGCGCTCTTCTGTCCAGCACTCCCACCCCCTCTCTCCACATGTCACGTTATTTATTGCCTTCGTTTATATCAAGTGTCTTTTAATTTATCCTGTCTGTGTATAGGCATCGCGTTCTTTCAGTTGAAACTTTTTTTTTAAATTCGTGGATCTGTGAAAATGGTGTCAGAATTTGATGAATGCTACGTAAATGGAACAGACTGGCAGCCGATAGACCTACATGAGCTCATTAGTAACTCACGCCATGAAAAAGGACCTTCCTGGCACAGTTAGCAGGTATTCAGCTGATGAAGACATCCCCACAGCTAAAGCAACTGGAGACAGAACCCTTTAAAGTCGAAGCTCGCCTAATAAATAAATGAATATATCAACAAAATTATTATGAGCACAACTCAGGAGTGCCAACTGATCGAATTTCTCGTATTTTGTTCCGTCCAAAGAGAAGAAGAGAAATTGATCGACCACTGAAGAGATGGAGGTACCAGTTCGACTAATCCTGGGATCGGAACGGGCCAAAAGCCCAAACCCCTGAAAATGATGATCAAGAAGAAATTTTTATTATACTTGGGGGGGTTTACTAAAATTTGTCGTCACATTCCAATTTTGTTTAAAGTCAGACGTCAATAACTGGAGATTTATTTACATTAACACCTACACGCGCTTCGAAGTGATTGGGTGGGAAATTTCTCATACAGAGATGAAGAACAAGGCGGATCTCCAGCTGGAAAATTCCAGTGCCATTCATAAAAGTCAACGATCGAAATCTGACGAGCGCGCTAGAAGTGTTGAGCTCCGGGTACTTTCCAGAGATCGATAATCTAAGAAAAGTTTCCGGAGACCCTTAAATAATAAAGACGGGCGAAGAAGAAGAAGAAGAAGAAGAGAGAGAGGTAATACGAGTAGACGCAGGAACACGGCACATTGACTTCGAACGGATGACAACACGGAGCGAGTCCATATCTATCGCGCTTTCTGGCGTCAGGTTGTGTAGCACGCCAACACACGGCCAAAATCAAAGGCCTTACCGCAGTGGCCATATGGCACGAGCCGTATTACAGTGACACTGTCCCATATGGCTCACATAGGATGAAGCCAAAATCATGCCATTGTTGTGCCCTCAGTTAAAAGCATGAGGTTCATTTGTTTCGGGTTTTAGTTAATACGTTTCACTTTGAAAATAGATAATCTGTTAATAATTTACGGCCAAAACTTATAGCTGCGCGTATAAACAATATAACATTCGTTAATTTTCCGCGTGTTATCCCAACCTATTCATTCTACATTCACAAGGGAACGAAACTTCTGCTGTTACAAACGTACCCCCTTGTCTACAAATGTCCAAAAATATGCAGACACAGTGCTGACGTATGTTATGATTGTGTGTATACATCCTTTTTGGTACACCTGTACATGACATACGTCGCATGAAGACTATAATAATTTACGATAACATATCCCCAAATCTACATGTTTGTATTTATATGATAGAGAGAATTTCGATCTTTATTTTCGGCTGGGTCAATCTCCTTCACTGGTACAATTTCCTGTCATTTAATGGTTGTTTGAGAATTACAATGATCCTTTATAAAATACTGTGGTTCTTTTTTAGTATTCGTGCCATTTGTTTCAGCAGAAACCTCTTAAAATCTCGAGATAAGTCGAAATGCCGAGTAACATACACATATGGAATATCCCATGTCCCATTTTTCGCAGACGATAAGGCACTTTTTAAATTCGTCTCGTGTTTGATTTAGAGTCCATATTTTATCGCAAAATATCCCTTACTTCTTCGATTTCTTTCTGGGCAAGTTACCCTGTAACTTCTATCCTATGATAACACTTGACTCCTCTTGGTCACGTTTTAGGGAAACAGTTTCCACGGTTTATAACCAATCCGAGGCAGATAAGCCATGAAGTCCGTGATTTCGTTCTCGGCCTCCAGATGTGATTCAGGCCAAAATGGAGTATTAAATCTTTCAGAGCCGTCACGCTGTCTGCTCCGCTCTTGTTTCTTCCATGCGCTCCATCTAGGATGTAGCGGAGTTGCTGTTTCAAATATCCTCTCGGATTCCGACGTACGGAATGGATAATGGCAAATGGAATACATTTTTAGGCGAGCTGCCAAATACCAGGGGAGCATATTGCTTTCGGTTGTTCCATCAATCAGGCTACAATTAAACAAACAAACATAACCACTATATATATATATATATATGCTTCTTACTGTTTACACTTAAATATTCAGTAACTGTCCATCATACCAGAAGTAACAGGTATTAATAAAATAAATATTTCGGTACTTATGGGTTATCGGGATACATCGCTTTAAAAATAGGTTAAGTTAGGTTAGGTTAGGTTAGGTTAGGGTTGTTGTTATCTGTTAGTTCGTTTAGTTATTTATTGCTGTCCACACACATTAACCTAACCTAACCTATTTTTAAAGTGATGTGTCCCGATAACCCACAAGTACCAATATTTCATATGTTGCGTACACTGAAATATGTAACATATCTTTACATACAGAATATGCAGAGATAGCCTTGACATTCTGAAAATCATATACCATATAAGTTAGTATCAGTGTGATCTATTTCTTCTGACTGAAATCATTATTTGTGTTCTGCAGGTCTACCATACATTAGACTAATCCCTAAGGTAACCGCCGTAGCAGGGGAGGCTCTCCATCTCAAATGCCCTGTAGCGGGCTATCCTATTGAAGAGATTCGATGGGAAAGAAGTAAGTTCCAATTGAAAGAGTAGGCATTGCATTTATTTTCTTAGTTTATTTGTGTGGTGATAATATTGTGCCTTACATTAACCTTGATCATCCTTGTATCCCAGCTCAGCTTTTTATTCATTGCACTAGCATAAAAGCTGTAATTACAGTCTGACCAGCATTGGCAGTTCAAATCCTCTATCCCAGAAAGATAAAAGTTAAAATAAACATTATACCGTAAACAATAAAGGAACTCATCCTAATTCTTTTCTAAGGTGGCCGTGAGTTGCCGGACGATCTACGTCAAAAAGTGCAAAGTGATGGAACGCTGGTGATCACGCCAGTACAGAAAGCAACGGACGCAGGGGTATACACCTGTTCAGCGAGGAACAAACAGGGCCACAGTGCGAGGCGCAGTGGAGAGGTCACTGTTATTGGTAAGATAATCAGTTTCTGTTTCTTGATTACATCAGCTGTGAGGCAAGGGACAAAGTGTTCTTCCAGCAGCCATTTTAATAACATTTGTTCATATAATATATTCTTCTCAGGTTACCAGACGTGCAAGGTGGCCTAATGAAGAAAAGGTGTTTTCTTCATTAAGCCACCTTACACGGCTGGTAGCCCGAGAAGAATTTATTGTACCTTGTTGCCGTGAAAACCACAGATCATACATTTGTTCATATGTTTGTGATTCTGTTATTATATTACTGTTAGCTACTGATAAAGACTTTACTAAATTCTAGGAAATAGCAATAAATTAATGGATCTTGTAAATGTTAAATTTTAGTATTATGCCATTGTTCTCAAGTTAATTAAAAACTGGCCTTTCAGTATATCACTTATCTTGCATATAAACACAGAAAAGTTACTGTAAAAGTAAATTTTATTGTCATGCAATTAAGGAAGGCGTTCATGTAACTATTTCCTGATGACATGTTTATATAATTTACAAATAATTATGGCCTTCATCATACAGATTTAACTGAAATTCTCAGGACTGAATTTATATTGAAAACACAGCTGATATACTGACAGGAAATGTATATTCATTTGTTTAAATTATGCTACATATTTTGGGAGTCGCTTCCTTCATGCTGAACATAACCTCAATTGAGATCTACACATTTGTCTAGCTTCATTTCTGTGTCACCAATCTGGTAAGTGAGTTTTTTGCTGAGCACAACAAATTCTCCTCATTCTCCAGCCAGATACTTGTCATCATGCTTACTCTTATGTATTTAAAAAGTTACTTGCATGTTACTGCGAGTTTACCGGTAATCCAAGTGCAGGTCTCCAGGCTTCAAATGCTGCCACTCATAGCACCACCATTGAATTATAAGATTTCAGGTTTTTAATATCACGCCTACCAACCCATTACTAGGACATAAATATGTCATAAAAATATTCACAAAACTTAATAATATATATCAAGATAAATTTGCACCAATATAACCTCTCTATTTTATAACATATTTTATCCTATTAAAACAGATGAAGCCAAACAGAAACTGCAAGAAAAATTTGATATCAAATGAAAAAAGAAACACTTAACTATACAAAACATATACGTAAGATCCAAAATTCCACAAAACCTGACTTGTTTTATACAGATTTCTACTTTTTTTTACTCAGGTTTTATGTTTACTCTGTAATCTTAGCCTATATCCAATTAATACATGTGTTTAACTTCAAAAAGGTTTCACTGTCAAATTTGGTCTGACATTTAGAAAGCTATTTTTCTGTCAAATTTGCAAGTAAGAAATAAACTGGATACACTTGGGTAACATAATAGTATGTCACAAGTAAAGAAAATACAATTAATATATTTTATATGCTTCAACAATCACATAATCAAATAATTCCCAAAATAATCTACAAATTTTCACTGCGTTCTATCAGCGCAAATGACCACTCACCAGTTAGTATTGGTTACAAATGAACTAATAAACATAATAAATTAAGAATAAAACATATTAAGTTGTTCTTAGTTTAAAGTACAAGTAACTTGCTACATTAAGATTAACTTTGTTGTAAATAATTCTCATATCCTGGAATCGCTTTCAAAGTTTATGCAATCCAAGCACAAATCAAATAACTTGTAAATGAAATTCATTAGTGTTCCTACATTTCTGCTGTAAGGTAATTGGCACTTACCTAAATAAATGCAGATTAGAAGCATAAGTGTATGATAATAATTTACCTGTGATTTGAGTGACAGGGAAGAAGACGTGACAGGAGGGCCACTGTCACCACACTGACCTTGTCAGATCTGTCCATGCGTGTACCACACGAGGATATGAACAAATGCTTTTTTCTTATTAATTCCAGTTCCTCCCAAACTTAGCCCATTTACTTCAGACATAACGCAGCATGTTGGGGAGCGTGCAAGTTTGACATGCTCAGTGACCAAGGGTGACCTGCCTTTGACCATCACGTGGTTGAAGGATGGGAGACCGCTGGACCCCTCCCAGAGGGTCTCGATCACACAAGTGGATCAGTTCAATAGCATTCTCTTGATTGAAAGTTTATCTCCAGATCACAATGGCAACTATTCCTGTGTGGCACGCAATTTGGCTGCTGAGGTATCGCGCACGCAACAGCTCGTGGTCAATGGTAAACAACAGTCTGTGTCTGTGCCCTTTTTTCATTCTATTCTCTTTTGTCTGCTCTCATGTTTTTATTCTTCTTCTAATTCTTCCAGTTCCTCCTATAATTGAGCCTTTTTCCTTCCAAGACGGGCTTTCCGAGGGCATGCGCACTCGCACGGTGTGTGGCGTGAGCCGAGGCGATCCCCCGCTCGCCATCACTTGGCTCAAAGATGGCGGCACGATTTCCTCTCACCTGGGAGTGAACGTGTCGGCTCTTGACCCTTATTCTAGCCTCCTCAGCATTTCTAGCCTTGCTTCCACCCACTCAGGAGATTATACGTGCGTAGCCTCCAACCCGGCTGCCGAGGTCAGGTACACGGCCAAGCTGCAGGTAAAAGGTAACGACTCTACTATCTTGTTCTTTCTTCTCGTATTCGTTTTCCCTTTTTGAATTCAAGAACCGCCCGTTCGCCCGCCGTGTCTTTACGTTTCCGTTGCTTTGGCACATGGGAATGCATCGGTGATTGGAGTCCCAGGTTTGTTTCACAAGGTAATTGTTGCACCTCTTTGGTTGTGTGTTGTCATTTGAATTTACTTTATTTCTATGGTCTGCTTACTGCATGTTTCGTCTTTCGTCCCTTTGACTGTCTGGATCTGCCACCACAGTATATTCCTGTTAAACCTTTATATTTCCTGTTTCACAGCAGTCATACGCTGTTACATTTTTGTCTTGTTGTGTTATTATTACCATTCGAATCCCTCACAAGTAACATGCTTCTTGCAGCGTTATATCACCAAGTAAAGTAGTTAAATCCTGTTTTCAGTTTTAAAAAAACCAAAATTCAGTACTGTCAGTGTTGTCCGATAAGTAGAGTAAATTGTAAGCTTCTTATTTAAACCCGTACAATGCATCACTCACTCACTCACTCACGTTCTTGCAGCATTCTGTAATTTCAATTACTTTACACTCTTGAGGGTGTTTTTGCACATACGCATAATTATCAGCATCACGCACACAAAATTTTGAGCCATTCAGCACTTCACTTTCCAGACGTTGAGTTTATAAAATTACTTTTCATATACGTTGTTCCTTATGAATGCCTGTAGTTTTTGAAAATTTGTAAAAGTCACTTATGAATGTACTACAAAATTAATTAAGGAACTTATCCTAAAAGTTTAATGAATGAAATAAATACGTTATACTTGCTGGGAGGCAGATTATGTTCCTGGTGTTAATATCTGCAATGAAGGCTGTGTCTTGTGTGCAGTTCCACCCCGCTGGGTGGTGGAGCCTACCGATGCCAGCATCGAGAGGAACAAGCACGTAACTCTGCACTGCCAGGCACAGGGTGTTCCCCAACCGACTGTCACCTGGAAGAAGGCAACTGGTATGGATTCAGTGAAAAAGAGATAATTGGAGATAGAGCAAGTGACGAGATGGGACCAGACTGATGCAGCGGGTGTACGTGTACTGTTTCAGGAAGCAAATCTGGGGAGTACGAAGAGCTGAGGGAACGAGTGTACACTAAACTGTTGAGCAATGGCTCGTTGTTACTGCAGAATGTGAAGGAGGATCGAGAGGGCTTCTACTTGTGCCAAGCAAGCAATGGAATTGGAACTGGTATAGGCAAGGTGGTGCAGGTCAAAGTTAATTGTAAGTACAGTTATATAATTCATCATAAATGTATAATTATCCAGAAAAATATATGAGAAAAATATATTGTTATTACAGAATATATTGGTGGTAGATGAAGCATCCATATTTATTTATAAACTGTTTCTTTTTACTATTATTCTTCTTCAGGCTGTGGCATAATTGTTATATAGCCTCTAATGTTATAATTATCATAATTTGATCCATAAAAATAAGCTGACATGTACATATAAGCACTTTATGAAAATACAAAAGTACTCCTAACCTTACATGTGATGTATGAATGTCATACAAAAATAAGGTATTTAATTTCGTACATTCATTTAACAAAAAAAAGTGCCCTTTCTGAAGGGACCACTCGGATGCTTTAGGATAAATTAGATATAATGTTAAGATTGATAAAGCAACATGATGGCATGCTGCGTACTGGATTCACTGCCAGTGGTGGTCTCTTGTGGCACTGTAATGAACTTTCAGATTTTGTAACAGGTCGGAAATTTCTTGACCAGTCGATCAAATTTAAGCTTTCTGGTAATGACTCTGCTTCATGGAGTCAATTTGTTAGTTGTCGACCCTTTCTTGAATACGGAGAAAATCTCATTTAAAAAAGGTTTAGTTTCTTTAAAGTTAAGTGCTTTGTTATACAGTGTGTCCACAAAGTTCCTTCGGAGTTTTGAAAAATTGTGGCGCGCAAACAAATTGAGCTAGCCACATGCGGTTTGCGGCAGATTACAGTGAAACTCCAGACGTTTTTTACCGACCTCAGTAGACCTCGATGTGGGCTCCCTTGGTAGCACGAAGAACGTCCAGACAATATTCGAGCTCTTGCCACGTTCTGTGGAGCATGTCCGCTGGAATAGCCGAGATCGCATTCCTGATACAAGTCTTCAGGTCATCAGGTCCGTTAACTGGTGTTTGAAACACATTGCTCTTGACATAACCCCACAGGGAAAAATCCACTGGTGTTAAGTCTGGTGAACGTGGATGCCAAGGCATTGGACCGTCTATGCCAATCCATCTTCCTGGAACTGCGTGTGGCTAGCTCAATTTGTTTGTGCGCCACAATTTTTCAAAACCCCGAAGAGACTTTGTGGACACATTGTATTATGCTATGTTTGAAAAATTTTATGGAAAAATGAAATATCTGTTCTTGGTTAATACGACATGTCTTTGATATTATTTAAAAACAATTTAGCAAATTGTGCTGTGTTTTGTTTCAGCATCTCCCTATTTCTCGGCCCCCTCTCGACTCGTGACCGTAAAGAAAGGAGACACTGCAACCCTGCAGTGTAATGTGAACGGAGACAAACCAATTAATGTCGTGTGGATGCAGGGAGGAAAGCTAGAACTCACTCCAGCATCCAATTACAGGTAATAATAAGTATTTTTATTTACTGTAATAATATTATAAAATGTTATTTGTTATGGCCTCTTTGTTCAATACAAGACTTCATGTACAATCTTAATGTATTTGATTGAATTAAAGGTATCTTGAGTTAATAACAAAATAAAACCCTAACTAAACTTCAACTAACTTCACCTTAATTTTGTAGCAGAATTTCCTCCATATTATGATTGAACTGTCACAACACGACTTCTATAATAAAGTAACATTTTCTTCACGTTAGATGTTTCTGTTTTACGTCTGTGACTTGTATTATGTGTCCTACCATGTACTATACCAGCCTCCATCTTCTTGAACTCTACCTATAACATTTACACGTTTATAAGGTTAATATACAGTGTGTCCACAAAGTCCCTTCAGGGTTTTTAAAAATTGTGGCACACAAACAAATTGAGCTAGCCACATGCGGTTTGCGGCAGATTACAGTGAAACTCCAGACGTTTTTTACCGACCTCAGTAGACCTCGATGTGGGCTCCCTTGGTAGCACGAAGAACGTCCAGACAATATTCGAGCTCTTGCCACGTTCTGTGGAGCATGTCCGCTGGAATAGCCGAGATCGCATTCCTGATACAAGTCTTCAGGTCATCAGGTCCGTTAACTGGTGTTTGAAACACATTGCTCTTGACATAACCCCACAGGGAAAAATCCACTGGTGTTAAGTCTGGTGAACGTGGATGCCAAGGCATTGGACCGTCTATGCCAATCCATCTTCCTGGAACTGCGTGTGGCTAGCTCAATTTGTTTGTGCGCCACAATTTTTCAAAACCCCGAAGAGACTTTGTGGACACATTGTATTATGCTATGTTTGAAAAATTTTATGGAAAAATGAAATATCTGTTCTTGGTTAATACGACATGTCTTTGATATTATTTAAAAACAATTTAGCAAATTGTGCTGTGTTTTGTTTCAGCATCTCCCTATTTCTCGGCCCCCTCTCGACTCGTGACCGTAAAGAAAGGAGACACTGCAACCCTGCAGTGTAATGTGAACGGAGACAAACCAATTAATGTCGTGTGGATGCAGGGAGGAAAGCTAGAACTCACTCCAGCATCCAATTACAGGTAATAATAAGTATTTTTATTTACTGTAATAATATTATAAAATGTTATTTGTTATGGCCTCTTTGTTCAATACAAGACTTCATGTACAATCTTAATGTATTTGATTGAATTAAAGGTATCTTGAGTTAATAACAAAATAAAACCCTAACTAAACTTCAACTAACTTCACCTTAATTTTGTAGCAGAATTTCCTCCATATTATGATTGAACTGTCACAACACGACTTCTATAATAAAGTAACATTTTCTTCACGTTAGATGTTTCTGTTTTACGTCTGTGACTTGTATTATGTGTCCTACCATGTACTATACTGGGATATTGGGATCGACCCGTTCTTCAAGTGCCTGAGCACTGCGGGTTCCAACTTTTCGTTGGCTTGATCTATAGACATTCGGTAGGACTCCTTGGATGAGGGATTGGCCCGTCGCAGGGCCTCTACCTGTACACAGGACAGTACGACACAGAAAAACGCTGACAGACATCCATGGCTTGAGTGGGATTCGAACCCATGGTCCCAGCGACCAAGCGGCACAAGGCCCACGCCTCAGACCGCGCAGCCACTGCGGACCTCACCATGTACTATAGTCATTAGTATGCAAAGTGATTTTTAATCTATATTGTTAGCCAACCTAAAATTCACATTACATAGCCAACATGACATTTCTACTGATCAGCTTGTCGTAATTTTGTCATTTGTACAGAGTCTCTCTGAAGCACGACTTAACACCAGAGGGTGTCAGTGCAGAGCTGCAGATAGCAGCGACAGAGGCAGCAGACAGTGGCCCATATTTCTGCCAAGCAAGTAACTTGTACGGCCGAGACCAACAGCTCGTACAGCTACTTGTTCAAGGTAAGTCCATGGCTGTCACCTGCCTACTTCTGCACTGTTAAGTGCTATACCTTATATGCGTTATGTAATCCATCATGGCTGGCTTTAATGTTTGATTTAGAAAATTTCTTGAGAGGGGAAAGAAGCCTGGCTCGATAGATGACCGCATTTCCTGAATTCCTAAACAAGTTGTCATATAGAATGCATGGCCAACTTGAGTGCAGATCATTTATAAATTTAAAGTATCTTTTATCAGGACAATTTAGGCTTTAAATAAGGAAGAATTTCTGTTCGAAATATAAAATCATTGGAGTAACACGTGACAGATGATTGAATTGAAAGTTTAGAAAAAATAAAGAATTATCTAAATAGAATTTCTTTGATTTATTTGTTGATGCTGGTCATTTTAATTGCCCCCCCCCCCCCATTTGTTAACGATACTGTATTAACTTTGATGATTTGTAATAATGAATGAGGTTAAGAAATTTCAAAATCAAAGAAGTTTCTTCGTAAGGTGTTGCATTACTTCCTTGTTTGATAATTTTTTATTCATCATCATACACATTCCTACGCTGAACGTACATTTCCTTAGTAGCTTGTGTAATATAAATGTGGCGCTAGAGATTTTCTGAATGATTATCAGGCTTTATCATGTGGGAATAGAGAATTTAAATACCCGTAATGTGAGGCTGCCGGCCTGATGACTCTGGTTCGAGTTAATGGTTGTGATACGCTGCTGAGATATATATCCAGGTGGACTACATGTAAGCCATGACAAACAACCAATAATGGTTTAAATCTTCTTCTTCTTCTTCTATGGCTCTCTGGTCCGTATTCAGTCCATGGTCTCCTCAATTCTCCTCTTCCATTCGGTCCTCTGTTAGGTCTGTCTAATATCACAGAATTAATTAAAGTAGTTGAAGAATGCAGACGTGATATGTGTAACGCATTATGCAATTCTGTCTAGAGCCTCCAAAAAGCCCCACCAACTTGGAATCTGTGATGATCAGCAGTCGTTCTGTAAACATGCAGTGGCAGCAGCAGTCGACCGATTCGACGGAAGTGACCAAGTACCTAGTGCAGTATCAGGAAAACCACGGTAAGTGCAGCGAAACACCAGGCTGTTAAGTGTCGGAGGAATGAATATGACAATTTGTGGACTGACCATCACATTCCATGAATAGATTAAAGCTTGCAGCTTCACAGATTTAAGTTTTTGTGTATTCTGACGCACAAAAGCAGTGACTAGAGAAAAATCAGCCGATACCAGGCTCTATATAGACGAGATCAGGAAGTGTGCATAATGAGGAAACCCCACTTTCAAAAAGTCTGTGAACCTAATCTACCAAACCTAACCTAACCTAACACTAACCTAACCTAACTTAACAAAATTAAACCATGGCTAATAACAACACGTGACATAATTAGCAAAGACAAGTCATCTGATTTTTTTTCTAAATATGTGTAATATATCTGCCATTAATGGCAGGAAGAATATGTAAGAGAATTTATGATTATAAAGAGAAAGCAATATGACTACTTGTTTCGCCATTTCATCCAACTCACTATCTTGCAGCCTGGTGTTACATAACCAATACCATTGGTTAATATTGTTGCATAAGGAAAGAAACGTACAAAACTAAAGACTTCTATGACACAGGAACGTGGCAGCAGATTGAGCTTACAGGCTTACCACTACAGCACACTGCTGTAATTGAAGACCTAAAGCCTGCGACGAAATATGTGTTCCGGGTGGTTGCTGAGGGACCAGCAGGGCTTAGTGGGCCAAGTCCAGAGTTGACTGTGAGAACCGAGCCACAGCGTCCAGCAGGACCGCCTATCAATATGGCGGTAAGGCCTGTCTCATCCACGGAACTCCTTATCACGTGGTCTCCGCCACTGGCAGAGTTGCGACATGGAGACATTCAGGGCTACAATGTTGGCTGCAGGGAAATTAGGTAATAATTTGTTATATTGATCAATAAGAAAAATTGATTTTGAATGACTGTGAAAGAATTAAAAATCATTAATATTTATGTTATTTCAATGCCAGCTGAGCAAAATATGAACATTTTTTTAGTGCAGTCTCCTGCTTAATGAGCAGATAAACAGTGGCAGAAAAATCACTGAGAATGGGATACTGCTGCAGTCTGCTGGCATGTAATAATATATTTCAAGGTCACTCGTAAAACTACTGCTATTCTGTTCCAGTGCAAGTGCGCTGAGCTATAATTTCACCTCTGTGGGAGGAGATGGAGAGGAAGGAGGGGGAGAGCTTCTTCTTGGTGGACTCAGCAAGTTCACACGTTACTTGGTGGTGGCCCAAGCATTCAACCAGGTTGGACCTGGTCCTCTGTCTGAACCAATAACAGCACAAACTATGGAAGATGGTGAGATACTAACCCATAAAATGAAATGCATTAAGCTCAGCTCTTAAATTCAAATTGGCATCTCCTTTCATGCAGTATTTGTTTTAATTATATGTCCTATTCATTCATTATCAGTTACTAACACAATAATTACTGAAGCTCTAAGCAAAGGTTCTTTTTCTTCTCAGTTCCCAGCGTGGCACCTAGTGACGTCCGTTGTGCTGGTCTGACGTCACAGTCCCTCCAGGTGAGCTGGCAGCCACCGCCTACGTCACAGTGCAATGGCATATTGCAGGGGTACAAACTGTTCTATGAACCAGTCTTGGATGATCACTGGCAAGGTAAAATTTATGTTATATTGCTTATGTAAATGTCACATAAATTTTGATCTTAATTTTGATTAAGAAATCAATCCTGATAATTATCATTAGTTCCAGAATGCCTTGGATATCTGTAGACAAAATTAAAAATATTATATATAAAAGCATTTAAATAATATGTGTCTAAATCCGGTGGAGTGTGCAGCGTGTTGCATGCAGACAGTACATTTTCATCTCTCAAGTAAACAACAAATTTCCACGCGATTTCAGGAGCTGACGAAACTGAGACCAGAAAGACGACAGCCCTGACAGCTGTGCTCACAGGTCTGCGCAAATACACTAATTACAGCGTGCAAGTTCTGGCCTTCACCAGGGTTGGTGATGGCGTTACTGCCAAACCAATCTTCTGCACCACTGAGGAAGATGGTATGAAATTTATAATTATACTGCAGAATGCATGAAGAACTTATATTTGCACTCATCTTCTGCAGTATAAAAATCTTTAAAATTAAAATATATGAAATCATAATTTTACCTATTGTTTTGTATGTATGTTAAGTTGTTGTCTCATGTCAAGAGACTAACACAGATTGAGGGTGTTTGAGGGCACGGTGCTGAGAATATTGCACCTAACAAGAGGGATGAAGTGACAGGGGGTTGGAAGAAATTATACAATGAGAAGGTCCATAATTTTTACTTGTCACCATATATTATTAGGATAATTGGATCGAGGTGGGTTAGATGGGTGGGTCATGTAACATGCATTGGGGAGAGATGAGAACAATTTAAAAAAATTTGTTTGTAAATCCCGAGTGAAAGAGACTGCTTGGAAGACCTTGGCACAGATGGAAACAGTATTAAAATGATCTTACTGAAATATGGTTGGAGGGTGCAGATTGAATTCGCCTGCTTGTTGATACATGCATGCTACATGTAAATAATAAAATGGTCCTCATTGTATTTCAGCGCCAGGTTCTCCCGCGGATATCAAGGTAGTTGTCGGCTCACCAGAGTCACTACTGGTATCATGGCTTCCGCCGACTGAGCCCAACGGTATCATCACCAAATACAATTTATATACCAGGTACAGTTACCAAATTATGGCATATGTTTCAAATTATAAATATTTAAATTTGTGTGTCACAAGAAAACTGTATTATACTTTAGATTTGCTATTTTTGTTTCAACCTCATTCATTTGTAATTCTGTGTACTTTTTTTTATTTAAGGAGAATCATTTTAGTGAAGAATATAACCCAAATTTCACTGAGAAAGGTAAAATTTTAATTGTATGTGTTGATCAGAATGGTTGACGGACGGGATGAACTGAACCATGGGAAGCGGAACTTGCCAAGTCAGCACACCAGCTTTGAAGCAAAGGGCTTGCGCCAGCACGTGGAATATCAATTCTGGGTCACAGCATCCACCAGAGTGGGAGAAGGTCAAAGTTCTCGAGTTGTGGCTCAAGTTCCTACTAGCAGAGGTGAAAGAGTTATCGTTTACATCTTCAGACATGGCTAGTGGCAAACAAAGCCTCTAGGTCTATATTATAAAATATCAGCTGGAAATTTATTCTTGAATCATAATTTATCTCATGGTGTACCACTTACTACAAGAATTGTGTGAACCGAATTGTTACTTGTTGGGGTTGGAGTTCAGCTTACAACTTTGGCTTTAAGGAATGTGCTGCCCTACAAGCAAAAGTTGTACATTGACTCCAACCGTGAACACCTAGGGACAAGAATTACATGCCTCTGCAGAAAGTAATTATTTTCATACATTTGACATGGCAGTGTTCCTCAATCTCTCATCACTCTCTCCCCCCCACCCCCCAGTTCCCTTCTTGAGAGAATGAAGATCCACACAGCTCTGTGCAGCCCTCATTTTTTTTATGATGCATCTTCACCTCCCACTTAATTACCAACTGAGAAAAATTAGGTTGGTCCATATTCGGTCCATGGCCTCCTGAATTCTCCTCTTCCATTCGGTCCTCTGTTATATCCGTCTATCCGAGGCTTTGATTGAGGTTTTGAAACATCTTCCTTTTTACGGTGCAAGGTTGTTAGCCTTGCAACCAACCCCCAACCTGGAGGACCAGGGTACCTGTCTTAGTCTTACCTCTCCGCCTCGACCAATCTGGCTAGGGAGGCCCTACCAATACCAGTAATTTTTCAGTGTGCATAAATATCCGCACTACTTCCAGTAATAACAATATGATACTGCTTAAATTCCAGTGCCTGCACGCATCTCTTCTTTTGGTGGCCCAGTCGTGCGTCCCTTCAGAAATACAGCATCATTAGCATGCCACGCTGTTGGTCAGCCCGCACCACGACGTGAATGGCTCAGGGGTGACCAGACTCTGCGCGGAGGCACCAATCATAATGTCCAGATTATGGACTCGGGAGAACTGTTGATATCCAACATTCAGCAGAGTGATTCAGGCAATTACACTTGTCAAGTTGGCAACAGTCATGGCTCTGATCATATACAGTATACACTCATTGTGCAAGGTAAGCTGAGCTGCAGTGTAAAACTCTGCTTTTCAGATGTTGCAAATCGTGTATTGAAGTTTAAATTGACTTATTGCGTAATATAAGTAACTTCTTAACTCCACAAGGCAAAGTCCTTGAGAAGGTAAGGTATGGAACCCAAAATAAATCCAGTCCATATCATAATACCATATTTCTTAAGATATTCTTCTTCTATGGCTCTCCAGTCCATGGCTTCCTCAATCCTCCTCTTCCATTCGGTCCTCTGTTAGGTCCGTCTGTCCGAGGCTTTGATTGAGATTTCGAAACATCTTCCTTTTTACGGTGCAAGGTTGTTAGCCTTGCAACCAACCCCCAACCTGGAGGACCAGGGTACCTGTCTTAGTCTGACCTCTCCCCCTCGACCAATCTGGCCAGAGAGGCCCTACCAGTAGCTATGCTACTGCCAGCATAGCTCTTGGGGTCACCGAGGTACTCAAGCCCCACCACCATGACAAGGTGCAGGTAGCATTAAGTGGGGCCATCTTCAGGTTAGAAGGCTAAATATGGAGGAAAACATTTTTCCAAAACTTTGGTGCCTGCCAAGACAGAACCTGAGCAACCATAATCCATAATCCAACTGAATTATATCTACATTTAGTTTGGATTTTGAACAGCTAACTGCTTCTTTGCAGTTCGCCCTGCTTCCCCCACACTATATGTGACCAGCACAACAAGCAGTAGTATCTTGCTGCACTGGAAGCCTGGAGACAACGGCGCTGCACCACTCAGTGGTTATATGCTCAACTATCGTAGAGCACATGGAGATCTGGAAGAACTTACGCTACCTAGAAGAGCCACTAGCTATGAACTTAAAGTTAGTACCAAACAGTTCAGCTGGAATCTCACAATATATCTGGTTTATATCAGCAATTCAAAATCTTAAACATATGTTAAACAGAAATTGTGCTTTTTACTGTCCAATAACAGCACTGGCTTTGTTTAAGTTGTCTGTATTATGTCTTATCAGTCCATGACTTTTACCTGATAACACAGTCAGAACTAGCATCTGAAACACTGTAGAAATAATAACTACAGCAGCAATGACAGTGGCACATTCTCTTTACACAAGTACGTGTCCATTGAATTAATTTTCCATTCTACGTCTCTTATACATATATCCCCTGTAGCAGGACTCTGTTTCTGCACAGAACATATTTCTGTATCTGTATATACAGGGTTAGTCAGAAGTATGTTTACAAACTTCGTGTGCGTGTTCCAGGATCAAAAATAAGAAGAAAATGTTCCTAAGATCATGGGGTCACAAATGTTTAATTTTCGAAATAATAGTCAAAAATAATTTTCAATGAATGACTTAATTGCAAAGTATAAGGACAGGGATGTTTCTTTATAACAGATGCTCAAAGGTTGTTCCTCCATTCTCCACACAGGCATGAGCACGACGTACACAAGACTGACGAATTCGTTCATACACACCAGGGTTTCCTCGAACCATCTGGCATGCATTATGCACATGTTCCCATAGGTCATCATTGTTTATGGGTGTTGCATAAACGACGGACCCCACAGATAAAAGTCCAATGGAGTCAGGTCCGGTGACCTTGGTGGTCATGCTACTGGGCCACCATGCCCAATCTATCGCTGAGGGTACTGTTCATTGAGATGATATCTGACACGATGGGAGAAGTGTGCTGGGGCTCTGTCGTGCATGAACCACATTTGCCTTCTTGTATTCAGTGGTACATCTTCAAGGAGACGTGGCAAGCGTCTTCTTAAGAATCGCCGATATGAAGGTCTTCTTAGACACGATGGAAGCATGTGTGGACAAATAAGAATGTCGCCAATATTTCCTGCCCAAACATTAATTGAAAATCTTTGCTGGAAGCTGGATTCACTTTGATATAAAGTCAATTCATTGAAAATTATTTTTGACTATTATTTTGAAAATGAAACATTTGCGACCCCATGTTCATAGGAACATTTTTTTCTTATTTTTTATCCTGGAACACGCACACGAAGTTTGTAAACACACTTCTGACTCATCCTGTATAGTAGTCCTTTATTCCCTTAACTTGTGTTAAACATCATATCTATTCCAGAGAATGAATAATTTCCAAAGGACACCGTTACGTCAATATACCGAGCCACTGTCACAGATTGTTAGGAATCGTGGTTGTTTATATTTTAATCTATAGATACCATTTATCTTGAGTGGGTGGGATGTTATAGGTGATGGTTGACTTCCTATCAGGTAAATTAAGTGATTCCTTCGTTCCCATCTAACTGCGTTCTCCTCTAGTCTCCATCAGTTCATAAATATGTCTTCTAAGCAATTACCGATTCTAATACAGTGACGGATTAAAACTTGCTGTTTTGCAGGGTCTGTACTGTGGCAGCACCTATCACCTGTTCTTGACAGCACAAAACAAAATTGGAAGCTCATCACCGAGCCCTACTTTATCTGTTAAAACACAGGGCCGAGCTCCAGGAATTCCTGAATCTCAAACGCTACTCTCAACCAATTCTACGTCGCTATTACTTCGACTGCACGTGTGGCCAGATAACGGATGTCCTCTCACTTACTTTGTTCTGCAGTATCGGCCAGTAAACGGTCAACATTGGACACTTGGTATGCGAAGTAGACAGACTTTTATTCTTTAATCTGAATTTAATTTTGTATAAGATTTTGGTGAATGTTTTCATTTACACTTTGTGACAGTGTCCAATGCCTTGAAGCCACAAAGGAGATTCACCATCTCAGGCCTAACTCCTGCATCTGTCTACCAACTCAAGATAGAAGCTCACAACATTGCTGGCTCCTCCACGTCAGAGTTCACGTTCATAACATTGACAAAGGAAGGAGGTATGTTGCCATTATTGTACATCCAGATAAAAAAACATCCGATCACAAGTGTAAACCTCCTTGTTATTGTTAAACCCCCCATCCCCAATGTCTATTACTCTTCCCAGTGGCCCATTGCATTTTTTTGTTACCTGATTCTGTGTTTGTGTTTCTCTCATCTAGTTTTTATTTCCATCTGCCATCTCAAACCTGCAAGGACAGTATAACTTACAAAGTTTCTCACATTGTAATTTATTCCTGTCCATCTTTAATTTATCTTGCTTTCAGCACATTTTTTTTCTGCACTTTGATTTCAGATGCCATTATTTTACGCTTTTTCCTAAAAATAGGAGTCAATGTTTTAGAGCAACACAAAAATGTAAAGTATTTGTATCTACTGTTTTGTTTTTCAAGTGAATAATAATCAGAATTTTTTGAATTTGTACTTTTTATTGTCATCACAAATCTAGTTTTTAATTTTTGATATATATGGAACACAATATGTTCGTGCTTTCTTTTGCAGATCCTCCGCCACCTGAGCTAGTGAAACGAGGCCATAGCTCCCACCCCTTCTACTCTGACGTCAGGGTGATGGTGCCCCTGATCATAGCCACATTGGCTCTGCTTGGTGCAGGGGCCGCCGCCGGGCTGTGCTGGCGAAATAGTAAGTCTCTTGGCTCGTCACAATAAATGACGTGCTTCAACAGAAGGTGTGTTACACTTCTTTTAGAATTTATTGATGTGCCTGCACTTGTTACAGAACAACCAAGAGTTTTGAAAGAGTCTCTGGACAATCAGCAGAACGCCGAAGCTCAGCGGGAACGTTATTATGCTACCATTCACAAAGTGGCACTTCAGGCTGGGGGCGACAAGATACCAGGTAATTTAAGTTTGTCTAAAGCAGCGGTCTATATGTATAGCAACAGCCATTAGCTACCATGTCACAGATACAAATTTGTGTTCTGCGACTCATCCGTGCAGCAGTATTTTAATATGCGGACAACAAAATACTTGAAACCACAATTCTGTAAAGCACTGATTCCCAAATTGCATTCCATAAAACTGTGCATTTTACGTTAAAATTAAAAATCAGATTTTTTTTCAGAATTACTTTATACTGGAGTTCTGGATGAAGGAGCCAAATTTTTAAATAGTTTGAGATGAAAGTTTTCACGTATTATTTAGTTATAAGTAAGCAGTATTCTGTTGTCATTTTAATCAATAAAAGATAGTCAGTACATGACAGAGATAACAATCTGTTGTTGGTTTGTAATTGTTTTACCCATGCCCTTCTAGAACCCTGAATAATTTATTTTTAAAGAAGTCCATTGTGTTATTTGTAACTTTTTCAAATTTTGACCCCTTAGTCAGGGCCCCCCTGTACAGCCTGATCTGTGGTTGTTATCACTACAGTTATTTTAGTAATTATTAGTAAACTATCCTGCAATGTGTACTTCGACAAGTTGGTGAATTGTACCCCATTTTGTGGCATGGCTGTTTCATCATAATTGGTAGATAGATGCAAATAGCCCTGGAAGCTGACTTGCATCTGAACCCAGTAGTAAACATAAAATTTGTACAGATGACTCTTGTTATATGCACTTTCGCTATCTGCGTTCTCACATGGCCATGATTTTATTTCAGTAACATGATGAGCACATCAGCTTCTGTCATCTGTGCCTTCAGACCTCAGCCAGAGAGGTTGTCGCACCTCTACCCTCATATACTTTATTTCATCTGACAGATGACCCTTGTTTCCCGTTCTGTGCGTTTTCAGTGCGGCAAGAATGCAACTCCCATGTATAACTAAGAGTTACTTGTATATTTTTAAAATAGGTGTGTGATATAAATGATAAAATGGGCATGATACCTGATTCTCAGTCTGTCAGATTTTTGTTCCAGTTTATGATTTACTGCTCATAAAATTTAATTTTCAACATTAATTCCCAAAGCTACAGAAATTGAAGCAAACTAATTGCAGGTGTTAAAGAGGCTCTGCTCAAGGATGCAGGAACCATTGTGTCAATCACTGATATTCCAGAAACATCGGAAGACATTTCGCCATATGCGACATTCCAGCTGTCGGGACCGGGAGCCGACCCAAACAACACCCTTCTTCACAGTTTCATGTACCACGAGCAAGCCATGACCGAAGGCTGTGCCTCACCTCCGCCCACAGGAGTAAGTACACAACCCTACAATACACCGCACCAAAGAGTTAGTTAATAATAGCGGGTTTTGGACACAAACATTCAGTACATCCGATACACAGAAAATTGGAACAAATAATTATTCACTGCTTACTATAAAATGCCTGCTCTGTTGGTTAAACTTGTGTTTGTGTACGATCTTCTGTAAGTAGTCAACAGATGTTGAACTGTCAATATAATATTTGCTTTCCCCATGTATATAACTATTATATTTATATATTTGTAGTAAATGTTTCTATCATTTGGTCACCATCACATTGTTCCATAACTACTATATCACAGATTGTCATTTATTCCATTAATGAATCTGTTATGTTGAAGTAATTATGTTGTCATTAAAAATTATTTTGTTAGTCCAAACATCAAATTTAAAATATAGCCTTTAGTTTAAGATGGCTGTCTTCTGGGATGTAGCAGTATGTAGCGTGCTAGGTGTTGACTAACATTTCAGAGGAGCTACCTGTCTCCGTCATCACGGTGACAAGTAAATATAACCCCGATGACAGAGGCAGTAGCTTCTCCTGAAACATTTTTTTATATCTACCAGACTATACAGTTTTGCCTCCCAGAAGACAAGACATCTTAATTTTTGTTGCCATGAGAACTAAATCTGACCTAAATTAATATTAAATTTGGTAATAATAAGTTAAGATAATTACAGGTCATCAAAACATCCCGGAGAAGAGGAAGCAGAAAGACTGACGTTGACACTGACGATTCAGACTCTGATCCTGATCAGCTGACATCAAGTCGCACCGAGTCCTCCAATCAGCTAGATGCAGGCAAAATGAAACACAGTAAGGCAATCTAAATGTAACCTTCTAATAATTTAAATAAGACATCCGAACAGTGTAACCTTTTTCATGTGAGTGCCTTTATTTCAGTACTTCAACTAAAAATAGGGTAATGTCCCATACTGACATTCTTTTGTTTTCATTATTCATGAGCACTATTAATAAATATTAACTGACTCCTTGGAGTAGAATACTTTTTCAGAAGCAGGTAGTCACAGAGTTGGAACTTGAAGAAGGTTCATTACCACACCACCATGAACCCCATTCACAGCCAGTTGAATCTAGTCCGTACATTTGTTATATAATGCATTCCTCGTGTCCCTGATGCATATGTTATATGTACTAACCATCTCATCATCCTTGTGTTGACCAACCAAATAATATGTGGTGAATAATACAAACTACTAGGTGTTCAAGAAATTTCCTGCCTTTTATGAAACATCAAAGGTTCGTTACCATGTTTCCTAAAATGAGAGAGTGAAATCCAGTTCTGTTTTCTGAATTAACACGATGTATCTTGTTTCAGATTTCATCTATCACGGTGCACAGTCAAGTACATCTTCAGATATATCGCCAATGTCAGAACAGAAATCACTCCCCAGGAGGGGCAGATCAAGGTAAGAATGTACATTTCTATGCATCATAATTCAAGAGATATTTTGAAGACAATTCATCAGCACATACTCATTGCAAGGAGTGGGCATACTATTTCACAACAGTCCAGAGCTTAACCATCAGTGATTGTGAAGGGATACACTAACAAACTAAGCAGACTCTTCTACCAGAATTACCGCCACAGCAAATTATGTATTGCACTAGACCTCCTCATCTGTTTACTCCCAAAGCAGTTGCAGGTGGCTAGTTCCAAGCCGAGCTGCACTTCGAACACTGCTGCCGCCACTGACAGTGGCAGAGACGACTTTCGGAGTCCGGCAACCACAGTCCGACGCTGGGGAAACGCCTGACCGACCGGAGCTTAGCGAGGCCGAATGTGACATCGATACTTTGAAGAAACTTAAGCTTGGACTGCGATCGTCCCTCTGGTCTCGACCCAGTACACATAACAATCAGTCTGATTATTCCATAGCTGTTTAATTATGGACAGTGAAGTTTTTATTGCTTGCAGACATGGATGTCACTCAGGAAAATTAAAACTTTCGATACATTCTCAAACCATATGGAAGTATTGATCGTCCCTCCCGCTTTTTATACTCTCTAAATGCATGAATGATTCTCTGGGATGGTGCCATGTACTATAGTTTTTAGAGACTTTTATACCCTTTGAATTGTCACTGAAAGCTGACATTTGGATGAACAAATAAAAGGAAGGTAAAAATCTTTCTTTTTTACTTTCAAGCATCATAAGATATTCCATTTATACTAATCTAATGATTCAGAAAATAAATTGCATTATTATGTTTTTTAATATGGCTATTCATATGCGACTATGAAGACCTCCAGAAAATTATATACAAACATGATTATAGGTATAAAGTCCTTAAAATTTTGCTGGTAGGCTTATTAAAGCATTTATGAAATTTATTGTTGATTGTGGATTGAGGAAGACCACAGAAATACACAGTTTACCTCGTATTTCCTTTACGGCACAACCATAGTGCGTATGTACATGTTTCAGATCCAAACAACTTCTCTGCCTTGAATGTGAGTTAGAGTAAGGCAAAAGATTTTAATTTTAATTAACTTCATACTTGTTATGTCTTGAGGGAGACTAAAGTATGAATTTACTTCACCTTTTCATATATTTAAGAGTAAGTACATTTCACACTTTCTTTTTTTAAGTTTGTTTGGCTTCCAAGTTAAATCCATGCCTGTCTGCAAAATCTTCTCTGATGTAAGGGCATTAATTTGCCAGAAGAATCACTGGTCATGGACAACAAAGTGTTCAACTCCAAGATATGGTAATTATTGGTCTACAGCAGAACACCAACCATGATGTAATGTGTAAACTTGTGGACATACGCCTCAGTTTATGAGGAAGCAGTGATATATTTTAAATCCATACACCATTAATACTGGATGACTTCAATCAAATGACATTAAATTAAATATATTGCAGTGTTTACATATAAAAATCAAAAACTTACAGTCTCAAAAGTTCATTGTCTTTTGTATTCCTAGGGCTAGGAAACCCATATGATAATGCCATTACAGAATGGTGAAACATGATCTTAATCATCGCAGAACCTGTCTCTCTTACCAGGATGTGCATCAGTGCATGTTACTTTAACATCCCCAGTGTTTTCATCCACAAATTATGTACCTGTTTTTAAATACAGATATTATTAAACACTACAATTATAAAGACTTGTTTTTTATGTATATATACCACATGTTTTCAGAATAAACTATGTAATTTTATTGATAAGTCTACATTATTTAAGCTTTCCCTAATTGAGTAAATAGGTTTTGGACATGAAAATAAAAATGGTTTGACACACAGTTGGTGATGGTGGGACACATGTGACATTTAACACCAACCCAAAGGGTCAAGGCCATATAAATTAGCTCCAGTGATCAATGAAGCAAAAAATCCATCTTCCAGGAACTGTTTATATCCTGATGGTCCATAATTATATGTTCCTTCCCAGGACTTTACAGATGTGTGGGAAAGAAATGCATAAATAAATTGTAGAAGATCCTCATATGGTGTTTTAGATTACTTTTAATTTATAAAGTGTAAGTTTTTTGAGCTGTTATTTCAACTGCTACTGATATAACTTTGTAGGGCAAATAAAGTGTCCAAAATAAATGTTTAAAGTTATATATTTCTGCATACAAACCCTCAATTACAAAACAGTGAACCCATATTTAACCTTTTATCATTTGTGTATTGTAGGTTATGCATAATTTACTGGCCATGTGTCACACTAGCATCGCCACTGTATTGTTAAACCAGGACTTAGAAGTCTGACTGGCAATGGCATAGGAATTTAAGCCACCTTTTCCTGTATGATAAAGGTTAATCAGAACCCATGAAGTATAGTTTGGAAGGTGAAACATGCAGAAAAACAGAACATGACTTACAGTTGTGCTGTCAGTTAATACAGCAAATGAAAACAACACACAAGAAGTATTCATTTAGTGAATTACACAACAGTATGATTTTCAATATTTTGTAGTGATTTTAATGGGTTTCTTTCATCTTTTTCATACACATAACAAGGTAATTTATTCATATTCCCTGCCTGAGTTAAAATATGAAACAAATCCACAACTGTTTCCTTTCATACCACAATTTATACACTGCTGTTCCAAATTGCATTCCTGTTTTATTAAAATCCCTGTCAAACCCCATTAGGTTTTGTTATAATTAACATAAGAAATGTCAGTGATATTAGAAAGTTAATTTATTGCAGAAAATTTTTCAAATACATTTTTCTTACTACAACCATTGCAGGAGATTACAAGAAAAAATTCACATAAAATAAATGTTGGTAATATTTTTGCTCACAGAAATAAATCACATTTAAGAGTTACTTGTGGGCTGAGGGTAAATATAGGTAATCTGTGCTGCATTTTGGCAAATTGTTTTCTATGCCAAAATCCGTGCTCTATGGAAAGTACAGCAAAGAGTGAAAGGTTGTGTAGTGTGTTCCAGTGTCAGATGAAATTAACCCGGTACTGGTTAAAATATTGTACTATTTTCATGAATGTCAGGTTTTGTGAAACTGTTATTATTGTGCAAGCAAAATTTTTTTCGCGTCAAAATAGTTAATGAACTCCGCACATAACCCAATTCATTGAAGTCTTACATATTCTGAGAATCATCTGGACATTACGGCATTCTCTTCAAAATAGCCCATGAAGTTATTACACTTTGTAATGAAAACGCATAATTTTGTCGGGATAGAAATGTTTCTATGAAGGTTATAATGATTACCAGCAGTTGTGGTGCAGCAGCATGCAGTGCCTTTGTTGAATTGAGGAGTGAATCTGAGTGGTACGACGATAATTTTCTACCTCTACGAAACAATATTAGAAAAGAATCATCTGGGGCAGGATCCAGAAAGAATGATTTTGTTACAGGAGGGCATAATGTATTGGGATGTGTTCAAGAAATAAATAATGTTTTATCAGATACAGATTTAAGCATGTCATTGATCAGCAGTGAATACTGGCAACATGATAGTTCAATTGTGGATATCAGCTTTTCTTCCCAAACAGTGCACGAAACGAATAAAACATCAGTTCCCATTTTGAATCCAAAGAAAGGTGATGATGCAGAGTTATCATCTCATAATTGCACTGGAGATCATAGAAGTGTGAAGTATTATGATTTGTCTGATATAAGCACAAACTTTGCATGTAATCAGACAACTGAACAAACTTTTCAACATCTCAACATGACAAGATCAGGCTCAGTTGAAATTAAAGTGGAAGTGGATCCAAATCTATATGTAAACTGTGAAACATCAGTAGATGGTGATTTGTGGTCGGATTCACGCTTAAAAAATACTCATTGTAATAAGTCTTGTGTCATGTTGTTTTCTAAGCCAAATAATAAGCAGAATCTTTGTGTTAACAGTTCAGATAACAAACATTCTGGCATAAGCAGTAACAGATTTAATGTAGTGAGCAGACAAGTTCAAATAGCAGACAGTAATAATTTGAAACAATTTCCAGAACATGAATTAGATGATAAACGGACAAGTGTGTTTAGTGAAGAATCTGAGAGTGAGGCAAGTGAACTGAATGAAGATGATAGTGAATTTTGTACAGAAACTCCTCCGGTTGAAGAATCTAGTAACAGTTATGAGTTAGTGAAAAATACTGAAGAACAGTTAGACATACAGCTTTCTGGGTTTTACAAGTTTGAATGTGATAAGTGTGCAAACAAACAAACATTTTGCAATTTTAAGTTGCTTGACCAACATTGCAGGGTTCAGCATCAGACAAGAGGCTGTGTTTTGTGTTGTGGCCAAACTATGTGGGAAAGAGATGAACTTATGGAGCACATATTGGACCATAAGCATACTTACAAGTGGGTTAAATATGCAGCAGATTTTATTATTACTTTCTTGAAGTATGTTATTCATGTAACAGGGTAAAATATTCAGTTTATAACACTGTAAAAATAACAAACAGAAGTAAAATTATAATTAAGCATATTTGTTTATATGGTTACCAGATTCTTTCATACCAAAACACAGAGGACGCATGATTTTATGGGCAGTAAAAAACTCGGTATGACACCTTTCATGATTTGACCCATTGAGTGTGCTCATTATTTCTCTCCATAGATTTTCAAAAAACAAGTTTTTGAAGTAAAACTGTACAGATTTCATTGAACGGAACGAATGCAAAATTGCTGCACTGTTATAAATGTTTCAGGTGTCCTGAATGTCAAGAAGAGTTTACAAACAAGTCTTTGTGGAAAAATCATCAGAAGCAGCACTTCCCAAAATCAGATTTGGACCCCTTCTGCTGCCCGCATTGTAGCAAGCAGTTTAGCTCAAAGTATGGCCTAGCCAATCACATGAACCTACATTTGCCAGAAGGTGAACGACCATATAGGTGCCAGTATTGTAACAAGGGCTTTGGGGCGAAGCATGCCATGACCAAACATGAACGTACACACTTGCCAGATGAAGAGCGGCTTAGTTATGTCTGTGATATCTGTGGCAAAAGGTATGTTCTGGTGGTGTAATAGTCAGAAATGTTGGCCATTATTTGTAAATTAGTTTTGTAAACTAAAATCTTGGTAACTGAATTTTGGTTCATGAAGAGTGTGTTGATTTGTGGTTATAATAATTTTGAAGTGTTTTTAACTCTTATATCTTAATTGCATCCTGCTTGTGTTCCTCAATACAATACTTTTATTTTGTGCGTGTCCGTTGTTATTGAATGGCAGACAGCAACTGTTGCACGAAGTTTGCCTGGAGATGTAATAAAATCAAAAACGGGTAAAAACAAAATCAATATAAGCAGAGCAACAGATACACCAGATTTTAATTTTAATTTTGATAGACCTGACGATGATAGAATTGTATATCGAAACATGTCGTCAATTTTAAAAATGTAACAATTTTATGTGAAATTTTATGTGATTTTAACAATAAGCTTGTGAAACGACGGAAAATAAAAGTATTGTTTTTAACTCATAAGTATGGGATAATTTGTATTGTACAGCTGCTGGAATTTGTAAAAGAAAGGTGTAAAACTGGTCTCATGTTTCTACTTAAATAAATTTGGTGTAATGAGCATATTTGGGTTGAAATTATGCTTCAGCTTTAGTTTGTAACACATGGAATTTTATCAGATGAAGTTTATAATAAGTCAGCATTGTGATCACTGATTGGTGAGAAATGGTTCATAGTTATTACTTCCAAATTGTCATTGGATTGTAGATCTATAAGGAATTAATCTGAATGAATAATTTAGTTATTTACATGAAAACATACTCGTTACCAATCGCACATCTTCACTAAATAATTGCGGCAAATTCTCTATTTAAAATTCAGACATATTAAAGAGTAACTGATAGACTTCTGTGGTAACGCTGATGAACTTTGGGGTCCTGTAACAACAGGGAATTTTCCAACAGTGGCATACCTATTATGTGTATTGTTTTCTGTAGCAGGGAGTTATTTTAAGATAGTTTATTTTAGTGTTAGTTAACTTAATGCTTTGGGATGAAACTGTTGAATTGATTATAATAATTTGTAGGTTTGGATATGCCAGCACACTGGATGGGCATCAGCGGCATGTTCATCAAAATGAACGCCCCTTTGTGTGCCATGTGTGTGCCAAATCATTCCCAATCAAAGGAGCACTCGCATATCACCTCACCACACATGAAGTTCAGGATCGCGTGCGATGTACGCAGTGTGGCATCTGGTGAGAATAGCTGGCTCATACTGTGAGGCAGCCATCATCATCAAATGCATGTTCATAGTGAGAAGCACGCGCATGAAGAACCATGTCACACGACAGTCTCGTGTAAGGTTAGGTTGTCTATATTCAGTCAGGCATAACAAACATGTCGGTAATGATGCTTTATTTGTATAACCCAGATGAGAAATTTCATTCATTTTATAATTAAGGTAAATATTTACCGTATGTTCAGATCTTCAGACCTTTATACAGATATTTTCTTAATAATCTCTGACTTGGTTCTTGGTTGGCCTTAGAGTGAATGTAGTCTTAGTTTTTGTTTTAATACACTCAGACTCAACTGATAATTTAGCATATTATCCCTAACACGTTCCTTTTTGTGTGTTGCCCAAAGTTGTAAGGACTGCCTGTCAAATGTAGCATGAAATTCATGAACAAGTACCAAACCCCGCTTCATGTCTGAAATGTATGACCATGAGCTTTCAACAGAGGAAACATTACAAAAGAAGTATCCCTACTATGAGTCTGGATGTGTTCATAAATGTATAAATAAGCATTATTACAGATAATGATTGATCATATATCACAGAGCTATGCATCACTTTCTTGTCAGTCACTTACTTTGCAGGCTGAAGAATGAAAAGATCCTTCGTATTCATAAGAAGTGTCATCAAGGGGAGCTGTTCACCTGTCCGCATTGTGACAAGGTGTCAAATACTCGTAATAATTTACGGATGCACATGAAGAGACATAGCGATGCTCGGCCTCACACGTGTACACTCTGTACACGTGGTTTTAAGACTCCGCGTGATCTGAAGGTAAGTTTCGTACTTTTATGGTAAAAATAATTTTATGCGTATCGTCATGTGCTTATGTTAGGGAAGTTAACCTTCTTGTCATGTCATTTGGTACATCTTTAATGTTCTGCCTTTCGTGTAAGTGACGATATTGTCTTGTATCTCGCCAGACACACATGGTGCAACATACAGGACAGAAGCCATACAGCTGTCCTTATTGTCCCAAAACATTTGCTAGTCCAAGTAATTTCTATGCACATAGAAAGATGAAGCATAAATTGCCTGCTGTTTCTTATGATGGATCACCGGCTTCCAATACCTCACATTATCCGTATTGAGCATCCATCACTGTGGTAAATATTGTTATATTAATTATTTTGTTTTTGGCTATTGATGTATTAATGGTTCAAACTATGTAAGATTTTAAGCTTTCTTAGTAATTGAATGCAGCGAAGTCTTTTCAGGTTATCAGCCGTGTGAGAAAGGCGTTAATATCCCATTTCAACATGGTTTATCATGTAAACTCATATCCCATCTCCTTCTCTTACTCTTCTTTGTGAAATTAGACTACTAAATAAATAATTTGCTTTACCTATGTTGTGTTAGTCTGTTTTTTTGTTGTTGGTGTTTTATAGATATTTTCAGTCTTCTTTCTAAGATGAGAATACTGAAGAAAGTTTTTTGGTTTATGAAATAATAATAGTGTTGCAGCATTGCAGTTGATGATTGTATGTCAATGTGAGATCAACTACAATGTAAAATATAACTGCCAGAAGCAACATTATCAATAGATTTGAATGCAGTTTTTTTTCTTATAAGACTTTGTACATTGGAACACCATTATGGAATATGTATATGTAAATATACTGAAAATGGTATTAGTGGTTCTTATAATCCCTGATTTTTGTATTTTCCAAATTTACTGAAAGTTTTCTGGGAATGTATCACATCTTTATTGTTATTTTCTCAGACTGAAAATGTTAATGACAAGTTACATGGTTGGTAATTCTGAGTACATAGGGTTCAGCTGTCATGTTGCTTCATTTCAGGTGAGTAGAGCAATGTAGTGGCTACTTCTGATATCATGTCGTTTCTTCAATCATCAGATGGGAAGAATTGCAGTTGTAGTCTTAATACAGTGGTTTAATTATTCTGTTATCTGCCAGAAATTACATTTGTGATTAATTTATAGTTACTAAATCTTAGTATGAAATGACAGTTCTGTGAGCTTACAATGACTTTTGTTAGGTTAATCTATCCTTGCACAGGAGCATTTGTCAGAGTACCGACAGGAAATAATAATGAACTGCAGATTATGATAGGAACAAATAGGTATGGTCAATTCATCTTAAGCTTTATACCCTGAGGAAGAAATGTATGATACATGTGTATATGCAGTATCAATGTAAGTTTAAAATAGATTCAGTTTGTGGGTACTGTAGGTAAAACTAATTTTGTGCTATGCTATCACCATGGACATTTGTGTTAACCATTTTGTGTTTTTTAGTTATATTTTGTTTGCACAGAAATGTAAATTTTATTTGGACAAATAAAGTGATTTTTTATGTGGATATGTAGTACTGCTTACATTATTTTTAAATTGTAAAACATTTTTGATTGACAAAAGGAGCAAAAAGAGGACTGTAAAGCTGTAACTATGTGATATAAGGTATATATTTTCTATATACATTCTGTTTCATACATTAATTGCATCTTTTGTTATTACCAGGAGGCATATATTTTTATCTGACTTAACTGTTGAATTTTAAGTATTTTATTTAACAGTGTTAAACTGAAATAAGTATGTGTGAAAGGTAAAGATTCCCTGCTCTACCTCATGTAGTTTCTCTTTTTTTTCTTTTTCTTTTTTTGGGGGGGGGGGAATTACCTCCTACTCAATTTTAACCTCAATACTAGATTAGGGTGAGTGGTCAGTGCCACATCCTGGCTGCGCTTTACCACTAGAAATGGACCCCGATACCCATTGGATAATTATTATTAGGAGGTATGAACATTGTCCTGTTTGTAAAAGTACTTGTATTGGAACAAGTTGTGTAGAAAATGCTTTTGTAACTAACATAACCAAATACTGTGTGCTGTTATTGTGGGTTTCTAAGGGCTTGAAAAATGTTAAATTTCGTGGTTTGTATATCAGAAAGTGTAAGTTTAAAAACAAATAAAGAATCCTATTTGGTATTAGGGCATTCCATGTTGTAATTCTGCTGCATATTTCATACGACATGAATATGTTGAATAGTGGTTAACATATTTACCGACTGAGCAGCTCACCTCTGTTGTATTATAGTACACCAATGATAGGTTGCACTACAGCACGCTTGTATGTTTGCAAAAGCATTGCTCGTCAAATTTGTATGTTTCTTTTACTTATTTGTTGGGAAATTTCGGTCTGTAATTGACAGGCGATACAAATGTATGTTGTTGTGCATGAGATTTTTTCATATTGCAAGGACATAATATTGATATTGGAGAATGTAAATTCGTGTGAAATATCATGTAGCCGTTTTTTCTAATCTTAGCTTATCCACAGACAGAAAGAAAATGTCAGTAGTAGGGAATGCAATTTACCCACATCCTAGAAGCACTTCGAAATTATCAACACGAATAGATGCAGATGGGAAAGAAGTTGAGGTAATTTGAGAATAGGAGCTAAGTTGAACAGCAGCAAATGAAATAAAACCTTTCTGTAATAATGCTATTATTTCTCTGGTACTTGTGTATCGTAAATTTGCTTAACAATTGTTATAACTTCACGAAATTAATGGGTTAGGTTCAGCCCCGTGTTTTCTTATTTTATTGCTTTAAGATAATGTTTACTAATAGCATTCTTATTAACTTCATAAAGCTCAAACTCATCTAAATGATATTTAAAAATTCTGTTCCTACCACAAACAAAACAATGTGATTATGTTTTTTAGGGAAATAATTCCAGCTTGCTTTTAGTCATCTTCCTGAAATGAGTGCATTTGCAGGTTTACATTGTATTAAAAGCTTACAGATAATACACAGCACACTATGAAGATGACAGGAGGCACAGTTGTTTGTGTTCTAGACACATTATTCATTTACCTTACTTTTATTTAGAGGTGAAAACCCATTTGAAGTGTGTGGTCATGATTTTGCAGGCTGGTTATATAGTAAAACTGTATTGTCGCCTTGACAGGTTGAAGTGCGAGAAGATGAAGAACAGAAAATCAAATTACAAGAAATTGTGGACCTGCTTGTGGCTGCAGGTTATTTCAGAGCTCGTATCAAGGGCCTTTCATCATTTGACAAGGTAATTTTCAGTTGGAGGCGAGCCTCGCTAACATTTGGATCTGGAACAGACCTCTGTTAAAAGTAGTTTTGGTTTAATATTGGTGCAAATGACTATTAATGGAAACAAAGTGAAAAGCCTGTTACAGTTCTGAATATATAGTATTTTCGAATCCTCCCATTTTCCTTTTCCTTTCTTGCATTTCTTGTTGGTTCTTATCTAATTTGTTGGAGATACAGATGTTACTTATGAGGCGAATGAAAAACAGGGATATTACTCTGCATCTTATAAATCAATTTTCCTTGCATTTTGTAAAGTATATAGCACATAAAGAATCTTTTAATATCATAGGTCTTAATTATATATTTTCTTAAGTGGATGTGTTTACCCATAGTGTGGTTAGTGTGTCATAATAACTTGAGAAGTTTATAATAAGTGTCCCTGTGTAATTTTCTGTGCAGGTAGTTGGAGGAATGACATGGTGCATTGAGACTTGCAATTTTGATGTCGACGTGGACCTTCTCTTCCAGGAAAATCTCACAATTGGACAGAAAATGTATGTAATCCTCTTGCTTTTCTTTTATTATGAATGTTGCAGGTTTTTTGGGTATTCTCGGGTAAACGTGTATACAGTTTTCAAAGTTTAACATAATGTCAGGCTGATTCAAAAACATTTTTAGATGTAATTTTTATGTGATATGGGTTCTATTAATTCTGTATTGTCTTTCTCCTTACCTACTGGCAGGTTGACTCCACGACCTTGTTCCGTTTACCATGTTAACCTGCTAATTGCATATTGAGTGTCCGTATATATTTAAGGGTGTTACCTTATAGTCTTAACTATGCATCTCTCCACCTTCTGTCTTTTAAATATTCAATATTCCTATGGGGAACTTGATGAAATAATAAGTTCAGTTATGGCAAGAAAGGACTCATAAATGCCAAAGATAACTGCGTAATAAAAGATATAAACTTTACAGAAGAACAAAGTGGTGAAAAGTTTAATTACTTATATGAGACTGGGGTAGGGTGTAAATAGTGTATAGTGGATCCCTCTTAACAAGTCTTTCAGTTTATAAAACCAATGGAATAAACATTACAGTATATTTTTTATACTGAATAAGTGGCTAAAAACAGGGGGGGGGGGGAGGCTTTGAAATACATACTAGCAAAAATCAAATAGCCTGTTATGAAATGTTATTCTTTCTTCAAGAACATATCTAATGTAATTTCTTTTATTTTTCTTTCAAACAAATTTGAAGTTAAATTTTCCAGTTCCCTATGAGCCTTGGCCTCTTGGAGAACCCTCCTCCATTCATCTCTTTCTTGTGGTTTCATCCACCAAGCCATAATTTTTAAGGTTTTAATATCGTTTAGTACTCAGTCTAGCCATCTTAATTTGGGTCATCCCCTTTTCCTATTGTCTTCAAGCTGGTTGAAGGTTAATTTCTTGACTGACTCGCACCAAAGAAGTGATAGTATTTTTTCCAAACAATGCATTGCTTCACTACATTTAAGAATTGATTTACATGCTTGTCCTTCCCCTTTGTCATCGTCACTATCAGTTTCTGTATTCATGTCTTCAGTACAAGATGCTTCCATCATCAGGGCAATTATCTTTTCAGATCTACCCATATTTGTATATAAAAGCACAGTTATTTTATCTTGCATCCACGACAGTTTTCACCTTTGAAAGCATATGTTTTGTCGGGGAGTAGGTTGAAAAACAACCGACATTCATCCACATTAAATATGTCCGTAGGATTGTATTCATTCAGAAGTGATGGTAGAACTCATGTCTTCCAGGCTCCTACAATGTCTTCATAAACACTTTTCTGATGCTCATTCATCCCTGAAGCTATGCCTAGCACATTTTCTGAATAGATCGAGCCATCCAATTGAAGAAGTGAATTCAATGTTTAAGTTTTTGGCTGTTCCTTTAGCCTTCTGACCTGGCACCTAACCTTGAATTGGTGGTACAAGCCACTCTAGAAACACTGAACCGATCATGTCATATTTAGAAGTTTTTAATTTCTCCCTCGTGGCTGAGAAGTTGCACATTGCTGAAGTATGTTTTTCTTTTTCGACGATGGTATATTAAGTTCCGCAACCTTTATGCGCGTCAGACGTTCAGGCTCCACCATCTCTGAAATGGAAAAAAAACTCTTTACGTTGATCTTTTTAACCACATGTACAGCAGCATATAACATGTCCGTTGACATTTACGCAACTTCATACTAGTGTTCACTGTACGTAACCTTCATATAACGACCACGTTACCAGCCACAGATGATATCAACTTCGCCAATAGATTCTGATAAATTGAATGAAGGTTGTCAGAAAGTTCGCGCCAATTCTGCCGAACCTATACCGCTCACTGAGCGCTATTCAGTGCTGATAAGTGCTTGTGATATGATGGCTATTTACGTGCGTCTGCTTTTTATCTCGTTTGTCTGTGTGATCCGAAATAAACTAATTAAATGGGTAAAATATTCAATACATGTCTTTAAAATTATTCTTTCTAAGCGGCATATCGTTTTATGCAGGAAACATTTTAAAGAGGCTAAAAATACACCATTCTTCTTGACACTTTTGGCGGGAAACCATTTTAAGCGGGGGGAAAATGTGTTTATAACAATCGGCATAAAACCAAATAAACATTTCTTTTTTAAAGTGCTGTAATAGTAAATGTGCAGTTTTTATTTCATAGTTTTTCACTTTTTACAGTGCACTTACGGAAAAAATAGTAGCTGTGTTACCTGAAATGAAGTGCCCCCACCGCATTGAGCCACATCAAATACAGGGTCTTGATTTCATTCATATATTTCCAGTTATACAAGTAAGTGTATACAGTTACAAAATTAAGTCTCTAGGTTGAGAATTAGAGGCTTGTGTTGAACAGCTGTTAGCATACTCATTAGCACATTTCCTTGTATTCAGATGACAGTCATGTGTGATTGTGTAAGGTCTCTAGTTGGTTTGCTGCCAGGTAATTAACCACTGGTACCTATTAGATAGGAGGTTGTGTGAACCCGAGAGCCAATCTGAATGCAGCAGTTAACAGAGAAGTTCCTAAATCCCTGTCATTTGTAGTTGTAGTCTTTGTAGGATTTGAGGTTTTCATGGTAGTGAGTCTGAAGGTGGTTGTTGTACCGCGTAGTCTGGTAGACGTTTATTGACGTTTAAGAGATCCCTGCTGTCTCCATCATCAGGCTGACGAGTGTAGTAAGGACCTCTGAAACGTTTATAAACTTCTACCAGACTACATAACGCAACAAACCCAGAAGACAGTCATCTTCAATTGTATTCTTGTTTACACACGAGATTTAAATTGTGAAATTTTAAGTTGTCACAGTGGTGAAGTTGTCATTGTTGTTAAAGGTTGCGTTACTGTGTGGACTTGTATGTAGATATCAGCAATTTGGAGAAACAGACTGTCTTCATCTTCAGTAGGTTCCTCCAAAACAATTTCTGCCCATGAGTCCACACAGCATTACAATGCAGATCAACATCTATATCTTCACTACCATCAGAACCTCAAATCTGAACTTGTCTGGCAGAGGGGCTCATTCGAACATTGAAAGGTGAAGTATGTTTGTGCATGTGTCCATTTAATGTGTGGTGTAAGCACTCGATAGCCGATGGACCTGCTACAGAGACATGGGACTATTGTTAAGAAACAATGTGTTCTCTGTATGATCTGAAGCTTTCACGGCGACTAAGTACTATGAATTCTTCTCGGGCTACCAGCCGTGTCAGGTGGCCGAATGGAGACTACAGTACTTTGAGGACAAGGGCGAAAATGGTTCTTGAAACGATGTTTTCCCCATTCACCTACCTTACATGGGTAGTAGCCTGGAGAAGAATTCATTTTACTGTGTCCCCTGTATCGTATTCAAAATCTTCATCAGACTGTTAATTCCTGTCATTGCATCATTACCTCGTAATGAAAAAATTGCAACATTTTCTTGAGTAGTATTGAACAAACTATGTTTTGGCATTTATGTTCTCAGTGGCTTGTAAAAAGATCAATGGAGACCAGAGAAGAGATGGGGCAGTTCGTTCAGTCGTTTGCCATTACCCAGTTTCATAAATTGTGTCCACTGCCTGAAGAGCAAAGAGTTTTGACACAGCAAGAAAATATTCTGAGAAACATACGTACCATTAAGGTAAATCTTGATAACATTATGTGATGTACCAGTTCCTGTTACTACACATTGCTGGGTATGGGGCACATTCCCATTTGGGTAGCATTTACAGTTGTGATAATTAAAAACATGTACTTATATGATACTGGACAGCAGATGCAGTATTACCATATGGAACTACTGGGTCTACAATTTATGAGGCTGCGGTAGTGCTTGCATTGCGTGGTCGGCCGGCACTCTGTTGATGTGGGCGGGAGTTGTGCGCGTTCTTCCAGTGGGTGACCGGCAAATCAGTTTCAGTGCTGCTAGTAACAGCAAACTATGAATATTTCTCGTCACTAATACATGTTATTACATTAATTGCTCTTACCTTAAATCACTAAAGTTGTTCAAAGTGTCACATCTCGTTAACACGTTTCGAAATACTCGACAAAGCTCTTATTGGGAAATTGCCGAAATCAGTTGTCGAATATTTTCTTTAAGTGCTTCTGCAGTGTGCGGAAAAATTGTGAACGTTATGTAAATTTAATACTTAGACCCCTTTTCCAAGAAATGACCGATGAATAAAATATTTACGGTTTCTTCATGAAAGACAATGCTACAGCTCACACAGCTGATCGGTCGATGTTAGCATTAAGAGAAGTGTTTGGTGGACAAGTTATCGATCAGTGGCCTCTGCGTTCCCCAGACTTAAACTTGTGTGATTTTTACCTGTGGGGCATGCTGAAGAACAAAGTTTATGTAAAACATCCGCACAGTCCAAGCACTACCGCAGCCTCATAAATTGTAGACCCGGTACAATCTTATTGTCACTACTTAACTCAGTAATTAACATGTAGATGGTTGTCTTCTGGGTTTTATCACCATCAAGTCTTTTAGAAGTTTACAAGTGTTTCAGAGGTCATTGCTGCCTCCATCATCAGGGTGATTGACTGCTGTGAGAGCTCAAATCCTAATTAACATTTAAGTTGAATGACTATAGTCACATGCAGAACCATTCACTCCAAACGCTGCCTTTCAGGAGGTTTATCGACCACATCGTCATTTTCGCCGGAAGGATTGTCCACCTGTAGAAGAAGAGTCACGTGTTCAGAGTACTCTGCTAGAATATGGG